TTGTGCATCTGAATTTGAGGTAAAAGCACTTTTACCCTGAGATACAGCTTGTTGCACATTAATGGCACATTGCTTCAAACTCAAACTGAAGACAAGTGAAGCCTTGAGAGATTATCAAGTGAGCAGGAGATGGGAAGAAATACATGACTATCAGATAAGCTTTCTTTGTCGGCCCTTTACCAAAGAGAGAGAGATTAGCTCATCCCCTATAATTGAATTGAACTCCTAAATATTTGGGCTTGCAGGACTGGCTCTTCCTTGCCAGCTTCACCAGGGCTGGCAGAGCTGCAGACATTTTCAGGAGCCCTTGGCAGGTGAGCTGGTGGAGGTGTGCTTGGAACGAGGGGTGTGAGTCCCCAGCTCAGGTTGGCAGCATCCCCCTTTCCTCCCCTTGCCTGTGAGGTGACCTCCAGTGCCAGCTCCCAGGCCAGCCCACCCAGGGCATCCCACTGTGGGAAACGTAAAGGTAAGATGATTTCCAGAAAGCTGTAAAAGCAGGCCTTAGGAATAGAGAGAGCAGAGAAACTTAGAATCAGCAGCAGCTGCAAAGTATGGAGGTAGAAAAAATTACAATAGTACAGCAAGCAAGGATATGAAACAATAGCTTGAGTTTTAGACTTGGCCAAGATAGACCTTAAGACTGCAGAAAAATATGCTTAGCAAGATAGTAGAAGGTTTTTATGCTTAATAATGAAGAATTGTGTGTTGTTAATAGAGAGCAGACAAGCCAGCGTTGTGTGAAGCAGGTGTACCTGTGCTTTTAGTGACTGGCTAGAACAACTGTCTGTGAGCTTTAGCAATGTGCTGTTGGCTAGAAAGTTTTTAAAATGCTCTGTAACAAAGAAATCTTTGGCTGCTGCTGGCTGTGCATGAGCTTTTGTCATCTTCCAATTGTCTCAGCCATGCAATGAGGCTGATGCTGCAATAAAGCTCAAGGAATGTACCCCAGCAGTCCTGTCCTGTTGTGAAAGGAAAAAACTCCACAAGCCAGCACAAATGGGTGAGGATTAATTTTAGAATGTGTTCCTAGCACGGGGTGAGTCCCCAGCTCGGGCTGGCAGCATCCCCTTCACTGGGTCAGGTGAAGGCCTTGATACTTACTTTTAAAATGGATTTGTTCTTGCAAAATGATGTCTTGTGTCGTGCAAGACAGAAGACATATGTTAAACTTTAGTTAGGGATTCAACACACCAGTTCATCTCCAGCAATTATCCCAAAAGGACTTTGCATTTAATGACTTACATACCTGTTTGAATTCTGTCCTGAGTAATGAATTATCTTTTTTTTTTTTTTTTTTTTTTTTTTTTTTTGTCTGGAGATGCAATCCAGGCACTTGAGGGAAGGAGCTTTCAGGCAAATTACAGCAATAGCAGGAAGTAGCACTGGTTATACTAAAGTAAAGGAACAGCAAATTATGGCCACAACTTCAAGGCAGAGCTCAAACCCCTGATTTGCCAGGAAAATAATTTTCCATTTTTAAAAAATCCTTTTATTCTCCTGTTTCCTCCACCAGCTTAGCTTTGCTGATACTTCCACAGCACTGGAAATCCTAATTCTTTATGAACCTAATTTGATTTTTTCTCCACTGAAGTTCAGCTCTTGGAAAGATCAGAAAGCTGTCCCAGATCATTGTCTTTTCTTGTGCCGTGGATTTTTTGATACAAATTCTCCTTTCCACTGTCCTACTTCCATTTATTGCCAGCACATTTTCTCATTTTCAGGTCTGATATTTTTCTTATGAAAAGAGCAAACCTGACTGTACCTCAAGTGACCATTCCAAAGCTCTCACAGTGCCAGAGAATTTATAAACACTCCTTAATAAAATTGAAAAAGATCTTTTGTCATAGCTCTTAATGAATAACTTTTAGTCTGTTCAACTCATAAAGTGTCCTCCTGGTATTCTCTCATGGGTTTTTGGGTGGGGATGCCACCAACTGTGTATTTTTTATCATACTTCTATATCATATTAAACTATTAAAGATTCACATAGAGCTTTTTTTCCCCTGCCAGGTTCAAAAATGTCTTCAGCTAGTGGTCCTCTGCATTAATATGTGTTTAGACAGTATCACTGCAGTGAATACTGTAGGATTCCCTTTTAGATTTTTTTCCTTCCACTTGGATAGTCTCATTTGTTGAAAATATATACATACATATATATATGTATATATATTATATATATATATTCTTTTTTTACTTCTGCATCCACATTTAAAGCTTGTTGATAGGGCATCAGGAAAATCAAACGTGGTTCCACTGGGTATTCCCAAGAGGATTTACATTCCTGCAGACCATGGGCTCTGCAGAGGATTTTGTAGCTGCCAACCAACCCTACAGAAGCTGATTTTGGCTTTTAGATAACACAGGTGGGAGGCAGCCCCAAGAAGGTTGTTTGGCAGGGGTGTAGCAAACTGCAGTGATCCACAGACAGTTATTTTTGCCCTCTTTATGGAAAGAAAAGAAAAGAGAAAAGAAAAGAGAGAAGAGAAGAGAAGAGAAGAGAAGAGAAGAGAAGAGAAGAGAAGAGAAGAGAAGAGAAGAGAAGAGAAGAGAAGAGAAGAGAAGAGAAGAGAAGAGAAGAGAAGAAAAGAAAAGAAAAGAAAAGAAAAGAAAAGAAAAGAAAAGAAAAGAAAAGAAAAGAAAAGAAAAGAAAAGAAAAAAGAAAAGATAAAAGAAAAGAAAAAACCAGCTGTGGTATTGCTGAGCAGCAATGCGAGGTGTTGGTGATTACACATATTTCTAGTTCTTGAGAGAGTGTGGGGTTAGGATGAACGAAATAGAATCTTACTAAAATGATACTAAATAATAGCACAAAATTGGAATAAATGGAAGTGAATTAATAGAATAAAGAGTGAAATGTCCTAAAGCTTTAGCCTATAGGTTTAAAAAAATGCTTGAAATTAGAGACAGTAAAATAAGACCAAAGAGGCATGGTTGAGAATTTGGTTGTGTAACTCTTTCAATGAAGGATGTGTTTGCACACCTTCCCATCCATTCCTGCCATCATTAACTAGAAACAGGAGGCTAAAGCCTTGGTACAGGTCATCTGTTCTGATTTTCACAAGACAAATTCTGTATTTTCATTTTGGCTGAAAGCCATCTGCAACATTTTCATATTGTTTCAGTGATGATAGGTACAAGTCAATCTGTTAGAGATTATAATTTTATTTGGGCCTGATATATTCTGATGCCAGCAGAATTCCCTCATCAACTGGTATAATGGTGTGATTCTTGTGTGACTCACAATTTAGCCCATGAGATTTATTTGTCTCTTTTTCTAGCACTTTTAATTTTATGTCAAAAAACACTGATGTCAAAAAACATGATTCTTTTAAAGACTTACAATTCTGATGGTCAAAAGCCAAAAATATTGGTTTGCACTTGGCAGGAGGGTGTGTTTGCCTCAAATAGCAGTGCTTCTAAAAAATCACTTCTGTTGCTTTATGCCAAAGAGTCCCTGTGTCCTCTTTAAAAGCCCTTCATGTTGACTGCATGAAATACTGTTTATGCCAAACAAATATGTTTATCCCCCACATATTTTCAGAGCTTTTACTGGTGTTTGCACTGAATTTTTTCCCCTAAAACCGGTTTAGGGCTCCATTTGATGCTTTCATAGAATCCTAGAGGTGGAATGGACCTTAAAGCCCATCCAGTCCCACCCCCTGCCACGGGCAGGGACACCTCCCACTATCCCAGGCTGCTCCAAGCCTGTTTTGATGTTTTGTGCTCCAAGCCCCATCCAGCCTGACCTTGGGCACTTCCAGGGATGGGGCAGCCACAGCTTCCCTGGCATCCTGTGCCAGGGCTGGGGCCAGAGACCATGGGAGGCAGCTTGTGTGGGCACAGGTACCTGTGAGCTCCTCAGGCTGTGGAGGGATAATAAAATCTGGCCCGTGGCACTGAGTAATCTGGTTATTTTAATCACTATGTGTGACTCTCTGAATTATCATCTGTATTATGGGATAATATGATCTCTTTGGTATTCAGCAATGGCTTTTAAAAAATTATCATATATATTATACAGAGCTAATATATTAAGAGATACCTTAAAGGCAATTGTCAAGTGTGTGATTTCATTTCTAAGTTCTAATAATGGTGGTTAATGTCATAAATGTCTTTTAATGAAATTATAGGCTTGTAACTCTGCCCAACTATCCTTTGTGTGTTATATAATTAATAAGACCAAGCCTTGGTGTTGATCTCAGTGTCACAAAGCATGGTGCAAATTTCCATACTGCTGGTGGATGGTTAGTCTCCCATCAGAATAAGAATAAGGTTAAGGCCAGGCAGTTTGAGTATATGTTGCCTTATCTTTAAAGGCAGCTGGATGGGCTTGTTAACAGAATATACTTCGAACAGAATATATATGCTCATAAAAAAGGGCCATTGATCTAATGCCTTATTATAATACTACAGGCAATATTTTAAGGGAGTGAAAAGGTGAGGGAGTTGCAGCACTTGGGATAAAGAATTGTTTTCCTTCTAATCCACTGAGGGTAGCGAGAATTTGTGACCATCTTAAAAACCATTTGAGGATGGACAAGAATCTTTGTCTTGAATGAAAGACACTTGTCTGGAATGTGACAGAGCTGGGATTGTTTCCCAGTGTGGTCTAATTTCGGGGGGCTTTAGCTAAATTGATTATTTTTTATGGTCATCACATTTCCTGTCTGAAGAACAAGGACCATAATATTTCTTTTCTTTGTCTCACATTTCCAGATCTTAAGCTTGATGAAGCAAAAGAGCTATCTATATGTTACTTTGTTAGTTTTTTTCTCTTTGGTAATTGAATCTTATAGAATCATTCTCACTGGACTAACTCAAGGTCATCTAATCCTGGCTCTGTTCAGAGCAAGAGCAATGTTGAACTTCTGCCCTCTAGTCCATTTCTCATTGTAAATACTCATCATTGAACCATCCATTTTACAAGTTACCAGTGAAAGTTATCTCTCCAGAACCATGTAAGACTTATTAGCATTATTGTACTGTTCCTATTCCTACAGGGCATGATGTACCTGGAAGAGAGAAGACTCGTGCACCGGGACCTGGCAGCCCGTAATGTCCTGGTGAAATCACCAAACCACGTGAAAATCACTGACTTTGGCTTGGCCAGGCTTCTGGAAGGGGATGAAAAGGAGTACAATGCTGATGGGGGAAAGGTGAGCACTGAACATGTCTGGAGGTAAATCTGCCATGCTGTGACAAACCTCCTGAAGTTACTCCTTGGGTTGGTGCGGCCCTGTGGGATTTTTGTATGTGTGAGAGAGTCTGTCAGTGACTGAGCAAAGCCATGCCTTGCAGAAGAACTCTGTTGTGAAAGCACACATAAAGGCTGCTCGTTTTTTGCACAGTGAGCTTCTCCAGGCATTCAAATATAATTGTACGAGCAGTTTTCACACTCAGAATTAGCATTTTTTCACATGCTCCAGTTTGTGTTTTGTTTTGAACACTTTGGTTCAATGAGTGCTGGATGTTCTGGGGCGTTCCTGTCCAGCCCTTTCTCTGGACAGTATACACCTCAATAACGTGCAGTCCCATTTTCCCAGACAAGTAATTTTTGTGAAAACAAAAGAGAAGACCACAGAACTTGAGAATTCAGCTCTTCTATCACACTGGAAGAGCCTGCATATGTTATGTCATGTGTCCACCTCTCCAGTACCATGCTGAATGCCAGGCCAGTAAAACCCAGCCTGAGGATAATTTTGAAACCACATCTTTTCCCCTATTACTTTCCAGCCAACCACACCATGGCCATGTAGTGCCTTACCTCATTTCTGCCAATTTCACATTAATGCATGATAAAATTCAGAAGGCAGTAAGTACGTGGTGCTTCCTAAACATCTTGAAATTCCCCATTTCAGTCTGTCGCAGAATCCCAAAGGATTTGCTTCACCTGTCATTCCTTTTCCTGGATGTTCAGTCTGCTTTCTGTCTCCTTGCTATCTGTGGTTTTTTTTGTGCTCACTCGTGCCCTTGCCTGGAACAAGCAGCTGTTGCCAGCGTGTGCTGTTCTCTGGGATGAGCTGCTGCCTTCTTTGTGTGGCTGCTGCCCCTGCAACTCCTGGCCAGGGCACTCAGGGAGGTGAAGAGCTTGAGAGGAGCCACCAGTGCTTTCCCATTTCCCCATGGACAGGGAAGATGGGGTTTTGGCAGCTTCTTCCTTGTTCCCTCATTTCTGTAATCCTCTTCTTGGTAAGCCCTCAGCCTCTTCCCTCCATCTGACAGTGAATGACAGAAAAAGAGTTGATCCTTGCAAACTAGCTGTTCCCTGGCAGCTGTGTCTTGGACTTGTTACCCTGCTGAGAGCTCTGGAGAAGGATTTATGGCAGATGTGTCACTCCCCAGGTCCAGAAAAGCATCCTGTGAAACCAGTATTGAGAGCATGCTAAGGGAGGTTCAGACTGGACAATCAAGTGGTTGTCAACAGAGGTGATGCAGTTTCCATCCTGGAAGGTTTTCAAGTCCAGACTGGACAACTTGACCTTATCTCCTAGGTAGCTGAACCTGCTGTGAACCTGAGGTGGGACTAGAGGCCTCCTGAATCTCTTCCAACCTGAGTTATCCCACAGTGAACAAGGCAGCTTTGCTCCCTCAGCAACTGTTCACATCTGGGGTGCAATGGGAATGAAAGCAGTGCACTTCTGCAGAGTTTAGTGGGGGAGGATGAACTGTCTTTGCAAGAGTTAAGGCAGTCTTTATTAAAGTTGCTATTTTTGCCATAACTCTATATTTTGTGTTCATTAGTGAACTTCATGGAAGGTAGTTTCATAAGGCTTTGAATGAAGACACATCCTCTGCTTTTACACCCACCATCTGTTCAGATTTTGCCTGCAGTTACTCATCCCTTTGGTTTATTCCAGTACTTCTTCCACAGTTCCAAATTGGAGGCAACCCATACGAGTCCCTCCCTGCCAGGTAAAAATCTCCTAAGTGCTTGTCCATGAGAAATTCACAGACTGCAAGGTTGTGATGCCTTGGGAAGGCGCTGCCCTAGAACACGGGCTAGACAGAGTTAAAGAATAAAGTAGGGATTTATTAGAAGGATCTCCTCAATGGATCCACCTTGGGCAGCACAAGAACCCAGCCAGGGCTACACCCAAGATGAACCAAAATGGTCACAAAATGGACAATCGGTCACAGGGTCTCTCACTTTTATAAGTTTTGGTCCATTTGCATATTGAAGTTAATTGTGCAATTACAGCTTTAGGTTATGAAGTCCCATCCTGCTTGTTTTTCTCTCTTTGATTCACCATTGTTTGTGCTCTTGGGCCTGAGATTTGGATCATTTGTCCTTGGCCCCAAGCTAGGAAAGGAATTGTTTTGTCTCCCTACTCTGTGAAGAGAGCTCACCATTCCCTAATATGAAGCCCAGACCCACACACTGAAGCAGCACAGAATCTGAAAAATAGAAAAGCTCAAACCTGGGGCATCAGCTGTGCCTGCTGGGCCCAGCTCAAGAATGGGAAACACCATGAATCCCATTTTAACAGGAACTCAAGAGGATGGGCTGGAATGCAAGAATGAGGCTTGGTTTGCCTGCACACCCTTCTCTGTCAGGAGAGAAGATTCCCTGACGCGGGAATGAACGTGGAGCTGCTGGCTCAGTTTGGGGAGCAACTTTTCCCACTGCTGTGCTGATGCAGAGAACTGGGATCGCTAAGTTTCTAACAAATATGAGGAGTTAACAAAAAAGCACTGCAAATTCTCCTCACTGCTTGTTTACCCTGATGGTGATGGGGATGGTGACGTGTTTTGGTCACTGCATTGACACCTGGCCTCAGTGTTGCTATCTCAGATTGCAGAGATTCCACACTGTGAAGGAAAAAAAGCTCCTGCATTCCACTTTCTCTGCTGCACTTCAGATTTAGCGGAATTATATGCCATTTTTGTGTCGGTCCCTCTTTACAAAGGTTTGATGAAAACATGGGTTGTTCTATTACTTTCTGAATCAGTAAATACCACAAGTTCTGCAGGCAACTGGTTCATCTTTCCCACCTCCAAGTCTTATGAGGCACAGCCCCATTCTAGAGGGCAGGAAAAGCCATTTCCTCTGTTTTTTTTTTTTTCAATCTCACCATTGAAGGAGGCAAGGAGAAAGTTGTTGTCTTCACAGAGGATCTGTTTGTATTGTTTTAATAACGTATTTCTAAGGTCACATTTCTCTTGTCCTTCCCTAGATGCCAATTAAGTGGATGGCTCTGGAGTGCATACACTACAGGAAATTCACCCATCAGAGTGATGTGTGGAGCTATGGTAAATTTTCACATGATTTGTTAAAAAATGTGTGTCTTTTAAAGCATTAAACCAAGTTTTGTTCAACTATGTTAAATATATCCTCTTTTCTCAAAGGAGTTAATTCCAGAGGCATTTGCTCTTCAGGTTTTTTGGGGTTTTTTTTGTTGTGTTTTTTTTTTTTTTCCCTTTCAATGTGTAACTCCAAGCAGCAATTGTTACTGTCTCCTGTGTTACTTCCCTGCTCACTGAAATATTTTATCATGATGTTCCCCGCTGGGGTGAGTGCCTCCAGGTCTGGTCTGGTTGCAGTTTGGCTGATTATGATGACAGAAGAAGACCTCTTTCAGCTTAGCCATGGATTCATAAAAATACAGCTGCAGGTCACAATTTTCAGCAGTCTTTGAAAAGCTCAACTCTAAGAGCCATGAATGTCAAAAAACATTTTCAGGCTTATGGGACTTTCTCTACCTAGAGTCAGATAAAAGGGAATTTGTCATAATACAGAGCAAATATGGCAAGAGAAAGAAAAGGAAGAGACAATCTCTCCAAACTAACTAGAACAAGCATCTATTTAATTTCACAGATAACTTGGGAATTGGTGAGCTACACACGGTGAGAAAAAGTGATATTTGAGAAATGAGGTGTTCATTCAGTGTTGCTAATGGTAATTCAGACGAGCTGTCTGCCACATCTGCTGAGGTCTCTGCCTGTTTATCTGGTATAGCTATTACTAATAAAATCATGTATACCTTTGTAAATGGAAATTTGCAGCAATATCTGGGGCTACGGAGTCCTATTTGCATTTCCTGTTGCCATATAATTTTGAACCAGAAGGGTGTACAGCTCTATTCATTACTCACTTTTACCTGTGGGTAGCAGCAAAAGACACTGTTTGCTGTGGCTGGGTTGCTGCCCTCTTCTAGTCAGCCGAAAAGAGCCTGGGAGAGTTCAACTGATCTTGTAAAGCTGCTCTTTCTCTTCAAATTCTGCACACCCTGGATCACACAGGAAAAAAATATGTCTTCATTTATGAAATTCATTTTAAGTGCAGGAAGCCCAGAACATCTATAATCAGAAAGGAAAAGACTGTAAGCATTTGACAGTAGTTAACAATATTAACAATAGTTATTTCACATCAGCAAGGAGATGAATGAGGGTGAAATAAATGTGGTTTACTCATGTGGTAATTTTGCCCATCACTTTTCACATTAGCATGGCAGTTGTCAAAATATAGTACTGATCTGAGGCGTGCTTAGAATGACCTTTGCAATACAAATAAAAGTTAAACAAAACAGTGTGAGAGCAGCATTTTCAATATGTAAGATTCTGTTTGAGCACAAATTCTTTTGCTTATGATATATGATCTTAATTTCCAGCTCTGAAGCCAAAACAAATCCTATGGCTTTTCTGAAAGAGAATCCTGGGTTTGTAGTGCAGCACTATGATAAACTCAGATCCATAAGGTAATTTAAGGGAAAAATGATAGCAGTGACTGTGAATGGCTTCCAAGGCAAAGCCAGTGACCTAATGTTACTCAGTGCTGTACCTTTGTGGGAAATTGATGCTCTAGTTTAGGGAACATCTGTGCTTTTCTCCCTTAAAATAATAGAGTACATCAGGCACTCATTTCCCTTTTTGGTAAAAGAGTGTGTTGCATTCTTTTGTTATTGCACCCATTTACTTTACCTCCCTTCATTTGTCTCAGACCATTCTCATGTGCCTCAGGTCTGTCATGTCATTTCTTACACCAATAAAAACGAGGGAAGCTGCTTTTGGACATTGCCACAAAGTGCTGTTTCACCATTTTCCAGAGTTCTTAAGTGGCAGACTGTCCTGGTTTTAGCCCAGATGGCAGCTAGGCACTGCACAGCCACTTGCTCATCTCCCCCCAGTCCAAACTTCAGTGTTTTTCCAGGCACTGGTGGAGAAGAAGAAATTGCAGTGCAGACCTGGGCCAGGCTACTCTGCTGTGAGGGAATCTGAGCAGCGTGACCTTGTGGGAATCCAGAGCTTCCCTCTGGCTGCTCTGGAAGGCCTAGGACCCTGGCAGGGGGTCAGGAACCCCCCTGTACAGAGCCCCCAGAGACACTGTCTGTGATCTCTGTCCATGGAAAAGTTTTCAATCTCACAGGATGAATTACAAGCTCTGAGTGGTTGATATAAGTAATAATTAAGTGTGGCACGGGTGCAAAAGTAAAATTTTAGGATTCTAGATTAGGGGTTCAAAGGGGACAAGATGGAGAAAATTGGGTGTGTCTTGTCCTTTTTATCCTTCTTCATGCCCTCCATGTTGCACTGCAGTGTTGGCATTTTTCTGTTGGTTTAGGCTGGGGACACACTGTTCAACGTAGGTTACAGATATTGGCACGTTATTGTAAATACAGCACAGGTAGTTTCTGGTATATAATGTTTGTAACATCCCACTGAGGGCAGAGCCCCACACGCTGCCCTGCAGGACAGACCTGCGGCAGGGCAGCAGAACATGTTAGAGATAAACGGAATAAACAACCTTGAAACCAGCACAGACGAATTATGGCTTCTTCTTTGGCAGTGGGGCTGAAAGACAGAGACTTTTTACAATCCCGGAATCATCAATGCCACAGATTCTTACATGACCCCAAACACTGACACTCTTTCTTCTTCCTAGGGGTGACCATCTGGGAGCTGATGACCTTTGGTGGGAAGCCCTACGATGGAATCCCAACCCGAGAGATCCCCGACCTGCTGGAGAAGGGAGAGCGCCTGCCCCAGCCCCCAATCTGCACCATTGATGTTTATATGGTGATGGTGAAGTGTAAGGAATTGGCACTTTTAATACCCCTGTGCTGGCTGCAAGAGGGACCCTGGTTTAGAACATTTGCATAGGTAGTCTCTGACAGAGCTGGGAAAGGGAGCAAGGTGCTGCTGCAAAACAAAAGCCTGCCAAGACTCTGTAAAATTCATTTAAACACTGTCTGTACATCTTCTGCAGTTTTGCAATTGTTAGCTGTGAAGGGCCGAGTTAGCTCAGCCTCTCATTACTGTCAGATGTTATCTGACATTCTTGCTGTGAAGTCAAAATTGTATGATTGTTATTGTAAACCCTTGTCATTTCCATGACAATGGAGTCTGATTTAAAAAAGATAATATTTAAAATAATTATGGCACATGGATACCCAGGCAGAGAAGGTTGTGAGGAGAAACCCCTTTTCTAAATATTGAGGAAAGAAATCACAAAGGTTTTATTGTTAGTAGCAAGAATGATGGTTGCAATATTAATAATAAAAAGTAAAATTAATAGAAGAAATGCTAGAGAGAGGATTATTTTATTATCATTCTTAGTCCAGTACAAAAATTTATGAATATTTTTACTCTAGTAAAAAAGGAAAAAAAATCTGCATATGGTTCCTTCCAACTTTTTTATCTCCAAGATACCCCCTCTAATGACAGTATCCTCCAAGGTTATGCTTCTAATTTAAAAAGAATTAGAAATATCTGTCTGATATTTCTGGCTTAATTTAAGTGAGATTAACATACAGACATCTCATCCATCATATATACTCCTTTCCCTTTTGCTTTGTACACAAAATCCCTGGAAAAAAAAAATGGAAAGGACAACTACAAGTAAATTAAGTATTTTCTGAAAACTGTTGTACTGTGCACAGAGGTGGAAATTAAATTGTGTAAGGGCTTTGTTGAGTGCAAAAATGTCCCATGTGGTGAGACACATCCTTAATAAAAGTCAGTCAGTGCTGATATCCCAGTGTGCAAGATGGGGAAAATTGCAAGGTGATGTTGCTGTCTCTGGGACAGAGAGGAGCCCAGCAAATTAAGGAAAATTCCATGTAGTAAGGAACAATCTAGTCTGGCCAAAACCAGGTGTTTCCCCTTTCATGCATCATAGAATTCTGTCTTTCCATTCTTCTGGGTTCTTTATTGCAACTTTTCTTTGAGCCAGAGTTATCAAGCACTTCAACCTTGTGCATTTGAAAAAAAACAGAATGATTTCCACCCTTGACACTTGACTGTTTTCTTTCTCATCTTTCATCCAGGCTGGATGATTGATGCTGACAGTCGGCCAAAATTCAAGGAGCTGGCTGCTGAATTCTCTAGAATGGCTCGAGACCCTCAGAGATACCTGGTAATTCAGGTGAGCAACCCTGCAGCATCACAGGGGTGGGAAAAACATTTTTTTATGCAACACCCAACTCTTAGGGGTGTTGGCTTTGAATGTTTTGAAGTTCAAGGTGCTCTTGAACCTAAAGCAAACAGTGACCACAGTGTTATACAAGCATGAAGTAGAATGGACAGTATCAGTAAATAATAATAATAATAATAATAATAATAATAATAATAATAATAATAATAATAATAATAATAATAATAATCTGAAATTGATTTCCTAAGCTCATGTTTATGAGCACATATACAGTCTCTGCCTTCACAAGCTGCTCAGTGCTTTGCATTCCCTCATGAACAAATTACAGATTTTGTCCACTGGCAGACAGTGGATCTATTTTTAGAGCAAGGACTTCCTTGGTTCTAAAATTGATTAGGCTGAGTCTTTTCCCTGCACTGCTGAGATCACAAGCAGGATTCTTTTCACAGCCTAAACATGAAAGTTTCTTAGAAGACAGGGAGTTGTGTCACACTGGTAGCTCTAATGCTAGGGAGGAGCTTTCCTCTCAGTTCTCCTTACACTCTGAGGGCTCTGGAGGCTTCACAACCCCCTGACAAGGCTGGGAAAGGTTCATCCTTCATGGGTTCATCCCATGAAACTGCCCTGTGGCAGTAGGAATAACAGTTCTTTGTTAGGGAAGAAAATAAAAATAAAATAAAAAGAAAAATAAAATGAAAATTAAAAATAAAATAAAAATAAAATAAAAATAAAACCTAAAAATAAAAATAAAAATAAAAATAAAAATAAAAATAAAAATAAAAATAAAAATAAAAATAAAAATGCAGTAAAACAAAACAACACTGCCAGAGTCAGAGCAGGCCCTGTCCTCCTGTGGGTCAGGGAGGTGGCAGCAGCCCCATGCCATGGTGGCTCAGCCCTCCTGCAGTGCCAGCTGTGCTTCTGCTGGAGCAGGATCCTGGACAAGGGGGGAGTTTTCCTCTGGAGCTCCAGGGCTGGGGGAGATGGGCCTGGTCTTAAGTCCCTTAAAGTGCCAATTAAAATAAAGCAAACATCCAGACACAACAGTTTCCTTGTTATTCCCCACCCTTCCTATTTGAGCCTAAATGGCTAAGATATTTCACAAAATACGTCAGAACTTGGGTCAGAAACTGATCTTGTATGGGGAAAAGAGAGAGGAAAGAATAAAAGCTCAATCACAAGAATGCCAAAAACATGTTTTTGCTTGATTTGTGCAGTTACTCCCTTTTTGTCATCATATTCCCAGTAAAAAAAAAAAAAACACACCAAAAAAAACCCAAAAAACAAAAAACAAAACAAAAAAAACCCCAACAAAACAAACCCACAAATTATGTGGATATAGTGCTTTTGAACAAACAAAGCAGCGTGTGTGGTCCCTGCGGCCTGGCTGCCAGGGCATTAGGAAGGCTGAAATTCTCTCTTTGGGAAGTTAATCCATCTTTTGATGTTTTTCCTCTCTCAATACAATCTGTTCAGGGAGATGATCGTATGAAGCTCCCAAGCCCAAATGACAGCAAGTTCTTCCAAAATCTTCTCGATGAGGAAGACCTGGAAGATATGATGGATGCTGAAGAGTATCTTGTTCCTCAAGCCTTCAACATTCCTCCTCCTATCTACACCTCCAGGACAAGAATTGATTCCAACAGAGTAAGAGCAAGCTCTGACAGAAAATATTGGTTATTATAAAAGCACAGGTGGAGATTTAAGTACAGCAATCAAACAGAGGCCAGCACTGCCTTGGGAATTACAAGCTCCCATTGTAAGGAGAGTGGCTATAAAAATGTTGTCACTGGGCTCCCTGTTCATTGTGCCTCAGTGAATTCTAAATTAATAGCCCAGCCTTGAGTGAACAAAGGCTCAGCTTGAGCTGCCTGTCCTGAGAGCACAGCTGAGGCTGCTGAAGTCAAGCAGTGTTGCATCTGCACTGTGCTGTGGCCAGGAAGTGCTCAGCCCTGGTGCTGCCATCCTGTTGTCTTGGCAGGGCTGGCACTGAAGTAACTGAGGGCAGCTGGAATATGCAGATAATGCAGCTTTTGTGAGTGGAGGCAGATTTCCAAGCCAGCCCCTTTTCCTGTTTGCATGTGATGCTTTCACAGCCCCCCCTTCCCAAATGTGTGTTTGTGCTGGCAGATGCTGGCAGGGGAGGAAATGCTCTTCATTTTCCTTGGGGTTTGAGGCTAAGAGAGTGTTCAGGGGAATTCAGCTCACAGAACTCCAGCCCTCTGAGGGAGAGGGATAAATCTGAGCTCTTCCCCCAGACTTCATTTCGTGGTACTGGAGCAGCATGGGTGAACATTGCTGCCTCTGTAGGATAAGTTCCTTTCTGGAACTTTCTTTACCCACCAAGTCCTGACAGCTGCAGAGCAGTCCCAGCCCTGCTGTGGGAGCTCTGGGATGTTGAATCCTGTCCTGCACGTCTGTGCCTTGCTGCAGGTGAGGAGCTAAGTCAGATGTCTGGAATCTGTTTTCCCTCCTCTGCCTGTTCCTGTGCTTGGCTCAGTTCATTGCCACCCCTTCTCACTTAATAGATGCTGGAAGGCATAAGTAATGTGAGGGCATTCACACAGGCATCAGGTGGGTTTTAACTAGGGACTTGTTTTCTCTGCAGCCTCCTTTCGGTCCAGAGTCACAGTTTAAATACTAAGTATAGTCCCTTTGAAATGTTGCTGTTTGTTCCTCATGGTTTAGACACCTTTTGGACATTTATCCCCAGCTAAGGTAGTTCCAAATTCATACCCAGGTGTGAACTGAGCACAGCATGTGAGACAGGGAAGAGGCTGAGTGAAAGAGCCAAGTGTGTAACCTGAGCCAGTGTCCATGCTCTGCCCATGCCATGCCCTGAAGGAAGCTCCTTATCCTCTCCTGAGGAAATCAGCTCTTCCTGGGAGTAAGGAGGACAAAATCTGATCTTAATAGCCATTTTGAAAGGAAATTGCTACTGGTTTAAAGGCAAGGAAACTGGAGATGTCTGGATTAATGTGGCATTTCTCCTGCATCACGGAATGACAATGAAGTAGGGATGATGCACAATTTAGCAATAAGTGAGAAACTTCCTTTTTGTAACTACAGGAGTTAATTGGCAGTGATCTGAAATAAGTCAGGTTTACTACTAGCTGTCTCTGGAGAGGTTGTTTCTTTTCCTGCCGACTTCTGAGGAAAGAAGGGAAGGACAGCAGTTACCTTTGGAAGGTACTCACTGTCACAGGGATGTCAATCACTGGAGCTGAGTTTGCCATTTACACCAACACAGGGCTGAGAGGGCAGGGTCTGACACAGTGGATTTGTTATCTTCATCCCACTCCCACATTTGCTGGAAACATTGGGACACATTTAAAGGAGCAAGGCTTTGTAGAAAAATGTACTTTGTTTGAAAAATGTTGGTTTTTTGACAGCTCCCTTTGCCCTCTGTCTTTGGTACCAGCCCAGTTGAGGAGCCCACTAGAGCTGAGGGGATCCCAATAAAAATCCTAGAGTTAATATTCTGAAAGGTTTATTTACAGAAAGTTATTTGGGCAGCCAGCATGGTCACTGGGATATTCCTGGAATGAAAACAGAGGCATTTATTTTTAATATTATCATTAGGGGTGGCGGTGTTATTATATGAAAATTTAAATAACTTTCACAAAGCCATTTCCCAACTTCACAGCACACCATTGCAGCTGCTTGTACACATGTAATCTTCAACTCAGCAGAGCTGCAGAAAAAGACCCCAGGCCTTATTTTTGCCATACAGAGAGACTCCATCACATTCTTGATGTGATATCTCCTTTCCTCAGCTCACAATTTCCCATCTTGGTTTGAAACTGTGGTCTTGTACCACTAAAGACAGCGAGAGCTTTGCTTTGCAATTCAATTTTATGACAGTAGCAAGACTGTATCCTCTTTTCAGTGACTTGCTGGGAGTTTTTCTCTGGCATTGTACAACAATCTAACATTTATACAAAGCTGGAATTACCTTTTGCCAAAAGTTTGCAGTTTGTGAGCCAAGTTGTCTGACCCAGATCAGGCAGAGAGGTCAGAGAGGGCTGAGCTGGAAGCCTTGCACTCCTGGTTTCCTTTCCAGAGGTGTTTTCTGGAGGTAATACATGTGTGCAGAAAGCCGCATACATTTCTGTAGCCTTTGTGAAGCAGTCAGTTTCTTGGTGCATTCACTATTCTTTTGGTGAGGATTGATTTAAACATAACATAATCACTCCTTTAAGGTAATAGTGCATCTGCTGTGCATAGCTCAGTACAGATGGATGTCAGCTACAGGAATCACATGGAACTGAAATGCTGTCAGAGCTCTCTACCTGCACTTGTCTGATTCTGTCTTGGTGATTCCTTTGGATGTCTCTGATTTATGCTTGTTTAGCATAGTGCATATTGGTATTGCACAAACTCATTATGGTGCTGCTGCAGCCATGGACACCAAATGAAAGGATGCAGCTGAGGCAGTTTGTGTTCAGTGTGTCTGGCAAATTGCATTTTATGGGAGACTGTGAGGCAGTGTGTTGAAGGAAAACACGCAGACAGGAGCTACATGATCTCCATGTCATTTTCAGGGAATAAGCAGCATGAAAAATACTGTACTTCCCACCTTAGCTGTTCCAGTGGCAGCTTTAGTGGCCAAGGAGTCCATCAGGGCCCCATGCTTCTTCTCTGTGCTGGCAGTGTTGGTTGAACATTCCAGCAGCACAGCTCCATGGGGACAGAAGTGGGCAGGAGGAAAGCAAGGAGGTCACAAACCTTCTCACACGTAGGCTTTGAAGTCGAGGAATATCATCATTGCTGCTAGCAATGAGGGGATGGGAAGGTTTTCAGGCTAAGAACCATTTATTGCTCAGATTAACATCAGTCTCAGAGGTCCTGAGATTTTAAGGGAGCAAGGAATTGGCCATAGCTCAGAGTAGTCACAAGTTCTTTGTTGCGAGACAATATAGAACTTTCCGATCTAATGGACACTTGCCACAAGGTTTATTTTGCTTTTCTAATCTATCAGCTTTACTTATTCCTACTGCACTGTGGATACTTTTGTCTGATAGGCTTTTGTTACACTTATACACTTTTGTTACACATGTGCTTCTATTATAACTTCTGAACTCTTAGCTACTCTACACAACCAGACCCCTACATTATAAACCCTTCACCATTTTACCAATGCAGTTTCTTATTTACTTAAGGTATATTCTTACTTACAATCATAGAAGCCTAAGTTTATGATTTTTCTACTCAACATTTGTGTAATTTATTTTTCCATCACTCCAAGCTCCTTCCAAGGCTGCAGATTAAACTCTTCGGTGTCTGTAGAAGTTTCTGTTTTTCCAATTCCCACAAAGGAACGAAGAACAAGAGCATTTACTTTCTCAGGAAAGCCCTGAAGTTTCCCTGTGGTGGTCTCAGGTCTAAATCCTTGCAACTTCTTGGTGGGAGAGGCACCGCTGGAGGAGGCTGGAGTAAACCACTCCCAGCCATGGGAAGAAAAGAGCTATTTGGATGTGCATTAATACCACAGTGCTGCAGCCTGTGGATAGAAGATTGGAGAGGGAAGGCTTCTGGGAAGTTGCCAGCTCCCCAGCAAGTCTCACATCCTTCTTCCTCCAGGGGTTACAGAGATTTATGAAGCTACAATGCTCAGAGAGAGCTCCAGCATTTCCATCACATCCATGCTGGCTCCCTGCTGGCATGTCCTTGGGACCTACCAGTGCACAGGCTCTGACCCTGGCCTCTCTTGTGAAGTCCACCCTGAGACTGCTGCAGCTTTTAAATAAAAATTAGCATCCTAAGCTAAATTGAATTCTTTCACTGGACCTGAAACTCTTCAGCTGCAATTTTGTCTCTGGCTTTTTCCACTTTTTATTTTCCGCTGTCCAGAGATACTTCAGAAAAACTGAGTTTTAGAAGCTCTGTGCTTCTGAGAGATAAGCTGAATCCTCAGCAGTGTTTCCATGAGCACAGGACCCCAGCTAGTGCTTGAGTGTCCTGAATTCCCATCCATTAGATGATTCATTCAGGTATTTCTAACGAGTGCTGTCCTGTGTGTGCAGAGATAATGCTAATACAGCATTATTACAATACTCTTTGTGCCCCATGATGCTTTTTGCTCTAAATCCTTGGCTAATTCCTGATGAAAACTGTCTATAGTGTTTATTGATGCTGTTCCTGTAATTTTATTCCACACACTGTACATCATGGAAGCACCTGCCAACCCTGCAATTAAATACCAAGCAATTTTTTTTTTTTTCAAGAGATGTCTAATCCATATGTCCATGGAGACCCTGCTGCTTGGCTGAAGCAGACTGTGGGACACTGGGGGTCAGTTTTCAGTTCTCTGAGCAGGATCTGGTGTGCCACTGCAGCACTCCTGGCATGGCCTTAGGTCTGGTGGTGCAGTGTCCTTGCCCCTTGGCAAAGCCAGGAGGGAGTGGTGGTCTGACCATGGTTCCTCTTGTGTCCAGGGTTTAGCAGCACCTGGTCCCCATCTCCTTTCCTGTAAGAGAAGGAAACGAGATGTTCCTGCCCAAGTCATTTCTCCAGGTGTGTCCTGGCCACATAGGACTGGTGGCAGTAAAGCTGCTTCATCTTGAAGTCAATCCAAAACGTATGTGAAGAGACCTCCAGGCTGTGTGGGGCCATTAAAAGCATTTTTGTCCAACCTTCTGGCATAG